TTTACAAAGGCAGAAAAATAATTTATGTGAGCAAGTAGCTCAATGTGTATCTTACTTTAATTTCCAAAATATAATTAATTATACATTCAGTAATTTTTTACTTTAGAATTTGTTAAGTGGCTATTGTTTAATAGACAAAGATTTCAAGTGTATTCAGTAGAGGAAGATATACTCACCTACATGATTCAAGAAAATTTTCTTACATTTAATAAACATTTTTTTCTCTTAAAGGGAAGTCAGTATTGCTACATGGAATTCTTAAATATTGTCAGCTTTGGTAGTTTTATTTAAGACATGAAAACAGGAAATCAAACGGTTGAAACAGATTTTACACTTCTCGGTCTTTTCCAGTATGGTCCAATGGACTCTTTCCTCTTCATTGCCATCGCCATCCTGTTTTCAGTGGCTCTGACGAGGAACATCACACTGATTCTTCTCATTCGACTGGACCCCAGACTCCACACTCCAATGTACTTTCTCCTCAGTCAGCTCTCTTTCATCGACATGATGTACATCTCCACCACTGTGCCCAAGATGGCAGTTAACTTTCTGTCCAATAGTAAGACCATCACTTTTCTAGGCTGTGAGATTCAGACATTTGTGTTCTTGGTCCTTGGTGGAACTGAAGCCCTTCTTCTTGGGTTCATGTCTTATGATCACTACGTGGCCATCTGTCATCCTTTACGTTACCCTGTGCTCATGAGCAAGAGGATCTGTTGGTTCACGGTCATGTGTGTGTGGGCCAGTTGTTCTGTCAACTCTTTAATACATACGGTGTATGTATTTCAACTTCCCTTCTGTCCATCTCGACTCATCAACCACTTCTTCTGTGAAGTCCCATCCCTGTTGCCATTGGTGTGTCAGCACACTTCTCAGTATGAACATACGATCCTCCTGAGCAGCCTTATTATTCTGTTGTTACCATTCACGGCCATTGTGGCTTCCTATGCCTGTGTGCTCTCTGTGGTTTTCCAGATGAGTTCAGGAAAAGGACAGACAAAAGCGATCTCCACTTGTTCCTCTCACCTGCTTGTGGCAAGTCTGTTCTACATGACCACTCTCTCCACCTATACAATGCCACACTCCATACATTCCCCTGAACAGGATAAGGTGGTAGCAGTGTTTTACACCATGATCACACCTCTTCTGAACCCATTTATCTACAGCCTGAGGAATAAAGATGTCATCGGGGCCTTGAGGAGACTGATAGGACTATGTATATTCGTACAGAAAATTTGACTGCAGGAACTCCTTACTGATTGAGATCAAACAACTTAAAAAGCTGTGCTTGTAATACTGTTTGGGAATATATCAACTCTAAAAATACTGTGTAAGTGTATATTCCAAGAAGTGTTTATGAAATAAATGGAGTAATAATGGTCTTTTTGTTTTGGTTCTAATATTTTGATTAGGATACAATTGGTGCATAACGTTGTACAAGTTTGATGTGTAAATGTATTAAATGTATCAATTTAATACATTTAAATATTATAATTACCACCATAGCATTAGCTAATACTTCCATCACATCATATAATTATCATTTTATTTTATGGTGGAAAAACTTCAGATATTTTCCCTTAGGTATTTATAGTATATATCACAATGATGTGCATCAGAGCTCCAGAACTTATTCATCTTCTTGTTGCAAAAGTGTACCCTTTGACCAACAGTTCTCCAATGTCCCTAACTGCCCCACAGGCTCCTTATAACCACTGCTCTATTGTTTCTGTCAGTTCAGCTCTTTTAGATTTCACATATAAGTAATATTCTACAGCATTTTTCTTTCTTTCTCTGGCTTATCTTAGCATAAGGACCTCAAGGTCCATTGATGTTATTGCAAATGGCGGGACTTCCCTTTTTTTCTTATGACTGAATAATATTCCATTATATATATATATACACTTTCTCATTCATCCATTAACAAATTAACAGACACTTAGGCTAGTTCCATACCTCATTTGTAATTTGTAGACTTGTAGATGATAGCCATTCTGAGAAGTGTTAAGTGATATCTCACTGTTGTTTTGATCTGCATTGCTCTAATATTTAGTCATGTTGAACATGTTTTTCATGTACCCACTAGCCATCTGAATGTCTCTTGGGAAAAAATGTCTATTCATGTCTTCTACCCACTTTTTTTTGATATAGAGTTA